TAAATCAAAAACTCAAACATAAAAAGTGTTTCAATTGCAAAGACTATGGACAATGCTCAATTTGCAACAGGTAGGGCATTTATCCTCAAATTGTTACAAGAACAGGCCAAGTACTTCACATAGAGCGCTAATGTGGGAAACCAAACCTGATTCAAAGTCAGACGGTTATTATGTGACTTGTGAAGTAAACGGACATAGTTTGAATGGTTTTATTGATCCCGGATGCGAGGTCGTATTAATTCGTGCATCGGATGCAAAAACTGTTGGCCTCCACTTGCACTCGTTACTCTTAATGGATATGGAGGGGCTATTACGAAGGTTTTGGGCAATGTCAAAACGAATCTGAGAGTAAATTTATTGGAAGTTGAAACTTTAGTCTTTATTGTGCCCAATCAATCGCAGATTTAATTGGTAGGTCAGTATTGAATAAAAGTGATGCGATAACAGTAGCTCGCAAAGGAACTATTAGACTTTTCAGCAGTGGTTTAACTGACTTACCAAAAATTGATGAACTTCCACCTAAGAAGATAGTTTCGATGGCAACTGTTTCCACTAAATTTTCCCTAAACCACATAGGACTGGTGAGTTGTATGATGAAGAATGACTACCAAGGTGATATTTTTGTAGACCTATGTCAACGTTTTGAACCAGGCAAAGAATATGTTTTGCCCAGATGTGTCATATCTTCAGGAGATTCGAAAATTCCAATTTTGAATGTTCCAAAAGATGTGATCTGTTTTGGACTAAATAGGGTAATTGCAAGAGTTGTTCCTTGCGTTCCTGATGACGAAAATGTCAGTACCTGTTTAAAAGTAGATATTTGTAATTTGGAAAAATTCTCCTTGAATTATTTAACCACTTGCGTGTTCAGAAAATTTATCTAGAACCGATTTAAATATTTTTGTATTATTGTTAAACAAGTATCGCGATTGTTTTGCGGAAACTATAGGTCACATTGGATCCGCGGAAATGGAAATTCGTTTAAATTGTGAAAATCCTGTGACATATAGACCATATTATAGACTTTTTATGCATGAAAGGGAGAAGGTGCGCAAAATAGTTAATGAACTACTGTCAGCCGATATTATACAAGTGCGTAGATTACCGCGCTGTTAACGCAAAAACAATGAAATACTGTTATCCTTTACTAAGTGGACGAACATGTAGAGATTTTAAAGGGATGCAAGTATTTTAAGACCTTGGACATGGCGAGCGGTTACCACCAAATACCAATGGCGCAGAATTCCTGAGAAAAAACAGCATTCGTAACTCCTGATGGTCACTACGAATATTTAAGGATGCCGTTCGGATAAGTAAATGCTCCAGCGGTGTTTCAACGGACGATTAACCAGATCCTAGGCTCCATGAGATTTTCTACTGCCTTAGCATACACGGATGACATCTTGGTTCCTTCTCCTAGTGTTGCGTCTGGGTTGGTTGCTCTTGGGGATGTATTTCAAACCTTCCGAAACGCAAGTGTCACTTTGCGACTGTCAAAGTGTAATTTCTTTAAGGAGCAAATTGATTATTTAGGACATGAGATTAGTGCTGCCGGTATCCGACCCGGTACTTCGATGATTTCTGCAGTAGAGAGGACCCTGCCCAAAATATACGGAGATTATGTTTATGTCAGCATTAGCTGATTTTTGTATATAATGTAGATCACGCCTTCCTGATTGAAAGTTACCATTGCACCAATCCTGAAAAATGATTCATTTTTGAGAAAATTAATTTCATAGTATTCATAGGTAGGTAGTAAGTAAAACGCTTGGACATTGTAATGAACGTACATTAAAATAAGTGGATTATTGCAGAACTTATGGATGGACCTCTGCGGGACGAGCGCAGCGAGTTCCGCAGCCATCTACTCACCAATATACTATTGAACTGTTCAAGTAAGACACTCACCTGAAACGTGTAGATTTTGAACTAATAAGAAAAATTCACAACTGAGTGAATCAGGTTAGTTTTGTACTTGAACGACATATTGGTGAATAGATGGTTGGGTCCACACATAAGTTCTTAACGATCCGCTCGGTTGTACTTGAATAACTTGTCACAATATATTACTAGTTTAGTAAAGTAACATTACTATATTATAATTCCTGTTAAAAGGCCAATTGACAAAAAGTGGATAATCTTACAAATTCTGACATTATATAATAATAATTGTCAATTTGCCTGTCAACAGGAATAAGTAATGTTACTTTACCAAAAAAGTAACATAATGTGACAAGTTATTCAAGTACAAATAAGTGGATTGTTGCGGATCTTATGGGTGGACCTCTGCGGGACGAGCGCAGCGAGTTTCGCAGCCATCTAATTACCAATATACTGTTGATCTGTTCAAGTAAGACATTTACCTGAAACGTGTACCTAATTTTTGAACTAATGAGAAGAACGCACATTTGAGTGAGTCAGTTTATTATCGTAATTAAACAATATATTGATGAATAGATGGCTACGGAACTCGCTGCGCTCGGCCCGCAGAGGTCTATCCATAAGTTCCGCAACAATTCACTCATTTGTACTAGAATAACTTGTCACATTATGTTACTGGTTTGGTAAAGTAACATTACTTATTCCTGTTGACAGGCAAATTGACAAAAAGTGAATAATCATAATCTTACAAATTTTGACTTTATATAATAAGTTATTGTTCAAGTACAAATAGGTGGATTATTGCGGAACTTATGGGTGGACCTCTGTGAGACGAGCGTAGCGAGTTCCGCAGCCTTCTACTCACCAATATACTGGTGAACTATTCAAATAAGAGAATCACCTGAAACTTGCAGTTTTTGAACTAATGAGAATAACTGGCATTTGAGTAAGTCAGGTTAGTATAGTACTTGAACAACGTATTAATGAATAGATGACTGCGAAACTCGCTGCGCTCGTCCCGCAGAGGTCCACCCATAAATTCCGCAACAATCCACTCGTTTGTATACTTGAATTACTTGTCACATTATGTTACTATTTTGGTAAAGTAACATTACTAATTCCTGTTGAAAGGCAAATTGACAAAAAGTGGATAATCTTATAAATTCTGACTTTATATAATAAGTTATTGTTCAAGTACATATTATGTACAATGTTACACAAATAGGTAAGCTTGTGGCGCAGTAGTAGTGTGCTACGTATAGTAATTTTTCAGGATTGGTGCAATGGTAACTTTTAATCAGAAAGGCGTGATCTACATTACTATATACAAAATTCAGCCAATTCTGACATAAACACAATTTCCGTATAGGCTGAAATATGTGAGGAGATTTTGCATAAATTGCCCGCTCTTTGACCTCCCTTACCTAAAAGGATGTAGAATTTGACTGGAGTATAGAGCAGGATAGTGCTTTTGCGAAACTTAGAGGTGTAACACTTTAGGATAGCAAATGATGATATATCTTCCACAACTTTAAGTTTTCGAACTTCTCACCTGATTTCTTTGTAATATAAGGCATACTGAAATGGAGAGTTCCGAGGAAACTTCCTATACTAGCCCGACATTTTGAGTTACGGGCTTTCATAGTGGGTTATGTACATGATTAAAATATTTCTGTCATGAGGTGTTTAAAAGCTCCAGACAGATGCATCCCGGATTCCGTTTATAAATTCATATTATAAGCAGAATTGTCATCATATTGAATCACGGTGTCCATTTTTCGTCTGATAACAAGCATTTTAGGATTCAACGCGCTCATATTTTGGGTTCCGGTGCCTAGGCTAGAGTATATGAGCTATCATAGGCCATTTTCATTTTCCTTCAAATAACTCAATTAATATTTACTTTATTAATTACCAATTTCTTTATCATTTGTCAGCGTAGTAAACTTAACCGTTCGCATTCGTTGTTTATCAGTTTTCCTACAAGGTTGCCACAGGCACAGCTTTATCTTTAATTAAGTAAGTTCTAATACAAAAACTTTTAAATCAAAGCCAAGTTCTATAGTATGACTCAAACAAGTGTCTCCTTACTTATCGTCGACATTGCAAATTATTTGCATACTGTTATGAATATTATCTTCTTCGAACAATTTTAAATATGTAGGTAAATATGAACCCATAACGACTTAGCAAAATAATTAATACAGAAATGCACGTAGGTATACCTCCTATGTATTAATTTTAATTGTGAGCCGACTTATTAGGAAAAAGTTTATAATGAAAATTGGTTTGCTTGTTGGCAAAAGTTAAGGTTTTTTTTTATCATATAGGTACTGGGAATTGTTAAAATTATCTTTATGTAAATATAATAGAAATTGGTTTCTGATAGTTGTTAAAAAAACTATGTACATGCATTTTAAGGTCGTGTATAGTTTAGTTTAGTGATAGAGTTTTGAAACTACAGAAAAGTATTTGAGAAGTTATTTTCATGCATATAGGTAGGTACTAAGGTAGGTACTATAGCTGTACTTTTAAAATAGAAAGTGGTTTTTCCGAGAAATTATTTAATTCAAAAGCCGGGTGGTCTTTTCTAATAGAAAAGTAACTGGTCGCATATACCGACCTCTATAAAACGAGAATATTTACTATAATCTTACTATGTAGTGTAGTGTTATGTACCTACTGCCTTGAAACTCTTTCCAATTAACTTCTAACTACGAGTTAAGAAAGTGTGCAATATCTGCACCTAATATATACGACGACAATTTTGGTATAAAATGTGGTCTTTAGTAGTTGTTTGCATACGTTTATCCAACCATAACAGAAATTCAATAGAAAAGGTACATTTTAAAAATAGATCTTCTTTAGAAAACCTTATAAGGCTATCAAATTTGAAACAAATTTAAACGAAAATAGTTTTTTCAAAACATGACTATAATTATTGTACAAATGTAGATTATTCTTAAAAATCTACATTTATGAGATTACTAAAGCAGCATTTAGCTTCAAGCTTTAACTTCTTTGTGGTCCTTCGAGCCGGTTGTTTCAAAGAAACCACCGGCGCCCAATCCGACAACGTCGCCCACTCGGTTCATTGTGCATTTACTAACGAGAAAACACATGGTGCGGCCTAAACATGTGTATATTAGATCATTCCATTGCCGCAGCCAATCAGTATTTTAAATCGCTGTGTCAATGGAATAGTGTGGAGATAGATTTCTTCAGTTGAAGAAAAATCGTCGGTATAGCCGAGAAAATGTAAGTCGAAATATTACTATACAGTAGTAAAAGAGCTTTTAATGGAATGTTGTATCGATTCAATAGGGCGTTGTTGGGTGCAGTGCACTGACCATAGAGGGAGCGCGCTGAGGGTGTTTTGAGCTTGAGCCACCTTGAGTTGTTTTGATCCTTTTTTTTTTCATTTGATTTTCTTTTCACAGTTTTGTTTTTGTAATGCATTGGGATGTCATCAGCTCAGATTTTTTGCATTTAATGTCCCTCGAGAAAATAATGACATCCTCTGAAATCGAAATGTTTTATCTCAATTAAATTTTTTTGCCTGCACAGAATAAACCAGATAAACAATTATTCGTTCATGATCCGTAGTTGTTCTAATTTTATGTCATTTATTTAAATTAATTTAACAAACATGCTATCTAATTATGGACAGAGTGGACACTAATACTAATTGTTCATTTTTTTTAATGTCTATTTCATTTTGATTTCAATGATAGGTATATTTGATTTCTAAATTAAATTGTTTTTGAAATTTGGTATCTTTGGAAATAAAATAAGCAATCTTTATTGCTTGTGCCTACGTGACCGAATAGTTTGTTGTTTTTTATTGTCTCCAGGATTGTAAATTATTATTTTTTACACATAATAACTGGACCAGGCGCTTATTTTTGATTTTCCCTGTATTTTTGAAAAAATTGTAATGTTTTTTCTTAGAGAAATCAAAAATGGTAGGTACAAGTAAAAACTAAAGAGTTGCGTCATGGATGAACTGTTTTTCAAATTGGAACACCCTGTTTTTTTTTGAATATGATTTTTGGTCCACTTCTCAGAGTTGGTTTGTAGACTTTGTCTCACCAGTTTTAAAGCTGCACGTGGAATTTCCAACTGTTCCAATTTTCGCCAGTAAACTTTACCACTGCTGGTGCTTAAACCATTTTTGACATTTTTTTTTAAACAGTCGTGTTTATCCTTGATACTATCCCCAAAGCCGAGTTTTCAGATTATACTTCCCCAAAACCGGGTATTTTTTTATACTTCTCCAAACCGGGTATTACCTATCGACAATTTTCATATTGGATACTCTTGCCCATCCCCTGTGTTTTTACAACTCAATACGACTAACCATAGAATAGGTACGACTAACTGCATCAGACACTTGACAACTGACTGACAAACAAAAATCACTACCACCTAAATAATTTTATTGTTAGGCCTTTTCTTTTACAAAAATGTCTGCAAGTACCTAATAGAAGTACCAGAAAATTTTTCAGAAAAAGTGATGTCGTCGTGTTTTCGCAGCCACTTGCCTGCATGCTTATGACTTTTCTATTCGTTTGTAATTTGCTTCTTACTCACTAGATACGTTATCCATTAAAGAAGTGGAAATAAAAGTACTTACCTATCTTCATTACCTACTTATTTACAAATATTCAATAATTTTCTAAACAATAATATAGATATTGCTTTTTTGGTTAGTAAATTTTTGAAACGTGAATTAACTAACACGACCGGAGGTTTGCCTTTTTAAAAATTTATTATTACAACTTAAACTAACAAGTTACAAATTAAAGTTAAAATATATCTAAAAGCAGACTGCCCGCGCCTGGTTGGGATCTTCTATATATTGAGGTTGAATATGCAATCCTGTATATTTCTGTAATAAATCTAGACAGATTATAACGAGGATGAAATAATAGTAGATTATACCACGAGTCAATAATGATAGCTATTATTCCCGCGGATTATTACGAACTGAGCCGCGTTAGCGGCGAGGGAGTAACATTCCGAGGGAATAATAGCCATTATTGCGAGTAGTATACTCTACTTTATTTATGACAAATTAATTTATTTGAGATTTTCAATGAACAAATTTCATCCGTCTCATAATTTTCAAAACAAATCCACAAGCACTACACGTTTGACACTGACACTTTTGTGGAATAATGACCATTAATCCCGCTACTCGTCATTAATCCCTGGAGGAATAAGATATGTCATTATCCTGCCAAAATCACAAATATAATACGCACATTATACATTAGTCGTAAATAATAGTAGATTATACCACGAGTCAATAATGATAGCTATTATTCCCGAGGATTATTACGAACTGAGCCGCGTTAGCGGCGAGGGAGTAACATTCCGAGGGAATAATAGCCATTATTGCGAGTAGTATACTCTACTTTATTTACGACAAATTAATTTATTTGAGATTTTCAATGAACAAATTTTATCCGTCTCATAATTTTCAATACAAATCCACAAGCACTACACGTTTGACACTGACACTTTTGTGGAATAATGACCATTAATCCCGCTACTCGTCATTAATCCCTGGAGGAATAACATATGTCATTATACTGCCAAAATCACAAATATAATACGCACATTATACATTAGTCGTAAATAAATGATAATTATCCATAGTCTTGGTATTCTGGGTATTTCGCTGAGAAGTCTGGGCGGCTGGTTTTCTTCTATCTTGTGTTGAAGTTCATTAAGTTCGTCTAGCTGAATATCTTGAAGATGAAAACTTAGGTTCAACACAGGCAGGTAGATTGGTTGGTCGTCTAGGTCGGGAAACACTATTGGTTGCTTCTTGGTATCGATAAACTTTTCTTGATTGGTAATTGTTAAGTCATCGATTTTGGCTTGGCAATTTTTGGGCAACGAGAGCAGATAACTGCCATGGAGTTTCACATGTTCTTCTTGCAGAGGACATTTAAGTTGGCTAGAGACCTCGTTCGGTAGGATCAATATTCATTGATCGGATTCTTCTAATTGGTTGATTATAGGTCGGGTAACTGTGACGTCAACTTGCCGGCAGGCAGAGGTGTTTTTTTCGGATTGTAGAAGTTGTACTTCGCAAGGGCTGATTTTGTCTGTTTCTCGAACATTTTCTGGATTGCAAAGGAAATAGTTTGGTAGGATTTCTTTGCAAGGTGTGCCTTGATATTTATAGTGCGATTGATTTTCAATTAAGTATTTGTTCCGCGGTATGACTACCTTAAACAGACTCTCATGCCTAATTGGAAATAGTCAAAAATATCATGATTGACTATTGGTACGCGCAGCAAGAATGTTACTCTATTATTTAGAGTAAAACAATCGACGTCAATTATTTTTTCAAACAGAAGTACAGTCTCTAATTTAACAGGACTAGGTAGCTCATTAGGGCTTATTGCTTTTTCGAGTTTTTGTAATTCATACAAGAGATCTTCAACCCTTATGATACTTGGGTGAAAGATTTTTAATTTGGAAAATGTTATTGAATTTTCTATATCTTGCAATGTTAAGTCAATTATTTCATAAAGGTTAATAATTTGATGTAGAATATCTCTTATAAAATGCATGTTTTCTCTATAGGTGGTTTTTTGCTTAAGCTTATTTGGTAAGTTCTGTCGCTAGCCGAAATAGCATTTTGATTTCGAATGTTTTGAGCCAAATTAATTTGGTTGGTTTCTAAATTTTTTATTATTTGTTCGTATCTTTCGCTATCGGATGCATCTAAATTTCCTGTGATTGCCTTGAAAACAGATCCCACAATATTAACTAAACCTCGTTTAATTCTGTTGGGATGCGGTAGAATTTCCCTAATTTTATTTTCTACGCGTTCTTGTAATAATGTTAAGATTTTTAAATCATTTGTTGATTCAGCGTAATACTCTTTCTGTAGTATCAGCGAATTTATGATATTTTCAGAACGTAAGTGTAGTTTATTTAGTTCGATTAAAATTGGATTTAGGTCAAAGTAGTGGATTAGGGTGTAAGTGTATTGGGTGATTTTTGCGTGTCCCAATTGCAGTGGTAAAATCCCTGGGTTGTCGTCGAATTTCCTGATTGCAATTTTGTCGGGATCTCCGGTAACTGTACCCGTGAGGCTGAAATATAATATTATGCCGGTTTAATCAAAGCTATATGTGTTTCGCAGAGGACGTTTCAAATTATCCATATGAACTTTTGCATTGGATTTTGAGTGCACTGTCTTACGTTCCGTATTTATGGTTTCGATTTCAACTGGTTTAGTGAACTTGTCACCGAGTTTTTGTCTAGCATGTTTTTTAATGAAAACTTTTTGCTTGGGTTTGAAAATTTCGGGTTTATCACGGTTTTCGTTCAGTTTGGAAAATAAATTTTGTTTGGTTTCTATCAATTTTTTATTGATGTCTGAGTACATTAATCTGGTTTTTTCTTTATGATTATTGACATAATCGCTTAAAAGAAGTTGGTCGAGATGTATGTTGTATGGGTCGTTGGGTGTAATATGACCATTAATGACGTCAGTGGGTTTTAACTTTGTTGTGGAATGAATCAAGTTGTTATAGGCCAAGATGGCATATACCTACCATTATTTGAAGGATTGACGATTTTGCAATTTCTTGGTTATTAAGTAGACGAATGTGTTCTGTTAGGGTAGAATGAAGACGTTCGATCACACCGTTAGATTGAGGGTGATTAGGTGAACAAAAATGTACTTTGATTTTGTGTAGGTTGAGTAGTTCTGTGATAACTGTATTTTTGAATTCTGTCCCATTATCTACTATAATTTCATTTGGGATATTGTGGTGTGAGAAAAATATTAGAAGTTTGTCCGCGATTTCGGTGGCAGTTAGGGACTGAAGGGGGTATGCTTGAGCATACTTAGAAAAGCTGTCTATTATGGTGAGAAATTTAGTTTGTTCAAGTGTGTAGGTGTCGAGGTGAATGACTTCGAATGGTTTAGATGCTGTCGGTGTTATATTCATCTCTATAGAAATAGGATGTCGTTCGTATTTGCTTCTTTGACATACCTCACAGTTGTTTATAAAAGTTTGAACAGAGTTTTTGAGGTTGGGCCAATAATATTTGTCTCTGAGTCGCTGTTTCATCTATTCCACGGTGGTTGGTTTTTGATTCATACCAATTTTTTATAATATCGCCAACATCTCGTTTGTCAGTGACGTCCACTAATTTTTTGTGACAACGTTTGAACTTTAACGAAGGCCATTTAAAGGTTTTTCGGTAACTTCGCAAAACGGTTC